TGTGCTTTTTTCATAAAATGGAGATATTTTGAAGCCTTTATAGTTTTCCGCAACACTGTCACTGCAATGTCAACGACTACAATCGTACGAAAAAAGATTCACGCTGAATATTTTTGGAGTGTCGGCGGCAGTTATACTCCAATAATAGAAATCAAATCAATTAGTAAAAACACTTTATAATGAACTTTCAGTGGATTTCCAAGCAGGCCGGCTGATTAACACAAAAAACGGTTATATATTTTAGTTTTCAAATTGTCGAACAAAATGAAATTGTAGGGGTTTTTTTTCAAATTCTCTGACCTGTTTTAAATACATGCACTGTCAATTTTGGGCTATATATGTTTATTGAAAAAGAGTAGCCAAGCAATATCAGAATATTCTTACTGTGAAAATGTTTGTCCTACCTTCGCATTATGAAGTAAAATATCCCATTTCATACCAAAATTTTCGTATTTGGAATATGCCCACATTCGATCAGCTCGATTCCTTTTCAAATTTTTATTTCGCTCATGATGAATCTTTAAAACCCTTTTTCCTTCATTAGATATACAGAAAATGAATCCAACAATGTCTTCAAACCATCAAGTTGTTTAGGAATGTGCAGAAAACATTTTTTACTTTAGTTTTTTCAGCTCTTTTTGCATAAACATTCCAATTCCATTTTTATTGACATATAAATTAATGTATACGGGGGGTACGCGCATCACACAAAGATCAGGGGCGCTATCTCCGTTTCACCGCCCGTGTTTTATAGCGCCCTGGTCTAAAGCCACTCGCGCTGCGCGCTCCTTGCTTTAAACCTAATAAAACACTCCTGCTCGTTTTTAGTGTGAAGTTTCACTTCACACTGTTGTGATGGCTGGCAAATTCACACGAATCAGTCAGTCAGGCAATCAGTCAGTCAGGCAATCAGTCAGTCATAGAATAAACTTTCCGGGGGGTGTATACGATTTCTGTTCGCAGTGATTTATTGTACTTAGTCAGTGCTTTGAAGGTTATTTAAGCAATTTTATTTATTTTCTTTAAATATTCTTTTGTCCTTTTGCCAAGTTCACAAAAATTTCGAGGAATCGTTGTCGTTATTGTAAATTTTTGTAATTTCAGAACATTCGCTTCTCATGTTGTGTAAAGGATCTTTCCCCCCTGAACACCCGATTTTTTCTATAGCAGGGCAAATGCGCGTGCGCTATGAAGCCGTAGATCGCGATGCTAGGAAGGAGCGACAGTGTTGTTTTCAAATGTATAAATTTAAACATTTCAGACCAAGGGAGCACACAAGAGGTCGTTTTGCTTGTCTTTTAATCACTTTATTACCTTCGTTTTGTTTTTGTCCGCCATTTTGAAATATATGCGGTATCATTCATTAATATATCGCAGGCGCGCTAATCACGAAGTTCGGCCGAATGAGTTCCGAACCCGAAAATTTTATTCCCTTTTTGCTCGGCCTTCGGGTTCGGAACTCATTCGGCCGAACTTCGTGATTAGCGCGCCTGCGATATATTAATGAATGATACCGCATATATTTCAAAATGGCGGACAAAAACAAAACGAAGGTAATAAAGTGATTAAAAGACAAGCAAAACGAACTCTTGTGTGCTCCCTTGTTCAGACGTGAATATTGAGTAAATCTTTGAGAATCTACGCAATATATAAATTTATGTTATGCATGACGGTCTTTCAATCAAGTACTGATATATGTGGACGGTATATTCATTAATATACAGAGCTAGG